TGTTTATGAACGGGCGAGTGTGTACTTTATCGCACTTGACCTTACTGAATTGTTATTACAAAAAGTGAACGTGATATGATATTAATAATACGTGAGGGTCCCAAAACCCAATGGCTAGTTATTCGAGGTTGAGCCGGCAAGGGCTTGGTCAACTCGATTAGCGAACCTTGGGTAGTGTATATATGTGTTGGATCCATACTGTTCTGGGTATACTCAATAATACCAATCACTGAAAGTTTGTTGGTATGCGGGCCCGGTAGGGTGAAAGGTGGACGGTGGGTAAGTGGTGATTCTAATGGACATGAAAGTTGACAGAGTGTCAACTACTTGAATTACTGATTGATCGAGTGTTTGCCAGCTGCACAGTATTCTTAATGATTGACGTATTGATTTTAATGATGTGCTTATATGATACCTCTTGTTATGTTTCTTACTGACTTAAAAATGTGAAATTATTGCTTTCTTAAATTGCATGTCTTTTTTAGACCTACTAGGCGCAAGGTCATACCTTTTCTTTTGTTTTCCTTAGCAGGGTTGGTTCATTGATTCGGGAATTAGCACTTAACTTTTTGTTTTGTTAGACTAAGTGATTAGGGTACTATATTGTTTTGAATGTGAATTGTAAGTTTAAACTCTCTTTTGTATTTTAAGTTGCTTTGACAGAATGTGTTAGTTGTATTTAGCGTATTTGTGGTAAGATTGGATATTGAATTTGATTTTGTGGTTTGTTAACGAGTCCTGATGAGAGTTTGGCAGACGACCCGCTGCTGATACCTTAGGATACACCCTTGAGAGAGGTGGGGTCGTCACAAAATAGACTTTGAGTAAATTTTGTATACATTGATAATTTGTACACTGTCACCATTGAATCCATAACACGCATATAAAAATTGAATTTCAAAGTTAAATTTTGTATAGTTGTCATTCATCCAATGCTAATAGTGTATACATTATTAATGTATAAAAGATTAATCCATAGACTTTGTACAAGTTAGTTGGAGGAAAGCAATTTTTCCTTTGGACATTTATTTGGGTAAGAAACTTACCACGACAAATGTCAAGCTACTTACAAGTTGAACAGGACTTAGCAATAAATATTCCATCAAAAAACCATCTACTGCTTAAATCATCAATGATAACGATCTTACTAGTTTTTCTCTTTTAATGGTTTCACTAAAGACGGCAGTTTTTATTGCAAAACTAAAATTAAAGAATTAGATAAAATAAAGTTTGAAACTCTATCACCTGTTCAAATGCCCCAATATAATCATGCAATGATAGAGAGTCATACACTGATGCAAAACTCTATTTCCCTTTAAAGCCACTTCACTTGTTGAAAAAATATACGGTAGAATTTGTAGTGTGGTACAAAATGAACTTACAAAAAATTATTCAAAGCACCAGAAGCTGCAGAGCAATAATATTATTTCATACACCACAAAAGGCTGCTATACCAATTCAAGTGCTCAATTGGATTGGTGTCTTAACAATTAAATCTGAGATATTACTTAATGATGCAAATATCTAATTTTATAATAAAGTACATCAATTGGCCCTTTGCACTTGGATATGGAAACATTTACCAGTATTGAAGGTGAAACAACTGATTTTAAACTAATTTTTCTTTTATGTCTTTTGGGGTAGTAGATATGTTTTTTCATTGTAGTTGTTTTATATATGATTGTCTTTCAAATTTTAACAAAGCTTCAATGATGTTTGCCTAAACAAAGTTCCTCAAATTACAAAAATGAACTTGTACTGTAATGATCCTATGATTTAGTCGACTAACTTGACACCAGAAATTCCCAAATACCAAAAATCATGAGTATAACCTAATATTTGAAACAATAAAAAAGTGGACTTTATTAGAATAATAGTGGTGCTCAGCAGGGAAAACCAAACAAAAACATATTCATTAAACCATGTTTTGACATGAAACGAAAGGAAAATTCAACCTTAACTACAGTAACCACTCAAAGAAAAGCAAAAACTAATACTACCTACTACTTTGTACTTTCAAGTCTCCATACTTACATGTAAAAACAAAGACCACTAGTCTAACTATCCAATATTGGTTGCATAACAACTAGGAGTATCAATCACTTCACACTTCAACAAAAACCACATAATATTTTATGGTAAACAAGTACAATATCAATCCCTCAACACTTAAATAAAAATCACAGAGATCAATGTCCAAAAAATGCTTGTGAACCAATTAGAAGGCGGTGGCTAAACAATTAGATTTAATAATATTGACCAATGGTGTAATTGTCTGACCACTTGTAAACAAAGACTTAAATATAGAAAACCATTGGTGTGAATATATAATAACTACAGTGAATCGACCAGAATCAGGTTAATCAAGCTTCTGTCCCTATAAATTACAAAATAAACAACAAATTATTTGCAATAAGCTAATTCATTACAAACCCATGGCATTTATTATTTTGTTATCATTCACATTATATATATATATATATATATATAATTACACCAACACAGCTTCTAACGGTTTCCTTAACAAGACCCAGCAAAACCATAAATTCTTTATTTGTGGATAAAAAATTAAACAAGACTTAATCTACTACTCAGATTTGAATTAATACAATATTGGGGTTTTTACTCTCTTATTACAACGCCATTCAAGATTGTGAATTTTTTCCACAAACATAGGAAAATAACCATGTAATATTGATCCAATTGCAATTGCAATAAACAAGAAGGCAAAACTACTGATATTGTAAAAAAATCCAAACACGTATCTCAAGATGTGATAGTAATGAAGCCAATTTTCCTCAATTTCTTTAACCCACGATCTAAGTCTTAACTAGGTCAATGGTTTTTTTGGTGTATAATTTCTCTCTCCATTGGGTTCCTACAGAGTTGAGAATTGAAATCCTCAAATTAATTTTGTTTATCGGTAGAACCTGATCTCCAAAAACTTTTAAACTAAGAAGAATAGAGGACAAAAGAACAAGTCCTTGTTTTGCTTTAATTGAGATCTCCTCTTTTGGTATATCTGACAGTTCCTCCAAACAAGATCATCTCTTTCAGTCTCATCTTTCAGTTTTCTTTTTTTCCTTATAATGACATCACTTTCTTGTGGATTAGTATTTAATGTCTGATTCTTGTGGATTAGTATTCAATGTCACATTCCCATTTTAAAATCTAGACCATGAAATTGTACAAAATAAAAAGAACAAAAGAAGAAACCCCTTGTTTGCTCTAATTGAAATCTCCCCCTTTTGTATATTTGACGATTCCTCCAAACAAAATCATCTCTTTCAATTTCATCTTTCAACTTTTTTTTCCCTCATAACGACGACACTTTCTTGCATAGTTATTAAACCAGCCCGGAGAGGAACCCGGTGAAAGAGGTGGGTCAACGTGTTACTGGTTCAACCAGTGGGTGAGTGGTCTAACCGGTGGTCACTACATATATTTAAATATTATGTTTTATAATTTTTGATATAGTTAAAACTATAATAAACTATGTTATAGTAAATACTCAATTAGCCAATTTATTATAGAATCATTAATTCTTATAAGAACTAACAAAACCTAAATTTGATTAGTAATCCACCAAACTTCAAGTATAAAATTTTATTAAGTGTAATTATCTAGTTTATTTACGAATTTTAAGTGCAAAAGGTTATTAAGAATAATATTTATTTTTAAAATGAATTGTGTAATATGTTATTTTTTAAATCCATTTCATAATTTATAGAATTTAGGGAATAATAAAATTTTATTAAAAGATTCCAAACAAATTTTGTTTTGAAGAAATAAAATAAGAATAAAAATCTAATATATAATATAGAAGGAGTAAATAAGCACTAAGTGAGTTGTTGGACTAGTGGTGAATGCGCTTAACCTTTATACTTGAGGTTTGAGGTTCAAAACAACATTGGAACATCTTCTAATCATTTTTATTCCAAAACCGGGTTCCTTACAAAACTGTCCGGTTCAACCGGTTGAGGTCTGAGGTTCAAATCAACATTGGAACATCTTCTAATCATTTTTATCCCAAAACCGGGTTCCTTACAAAACCATCCCCGAGTTTCTTACAAAATCGTCCGGTTCAACCGGTTGAACCACTGGTCCGTTGAAAAGTCAACGAATTTCTTGCACAAACGATCCAATTACAAACCCAACCCGATTTTATGGCCGGTTCACCGGTTGACCGGTTGAACCGTCAGACCAGACCGGGTTTAATAACTATGCTTTCTTGTGAATTATTGTTCAATGTCCGATTCCCATTTTTTAATCTAGACCATGCAATTGTACAAAATAAAAAGTGGGCCCAATTGTGAGGCCCAATCTTGATTAATGGTCCAAAAAAAAAAGTAAAACATGAATAGTAATTTTGTTAATAAGTAGAAAGGAATAGCTTGTAGGTTTAAGAATATCGAAGATAGCTGAAACTCTCAGTCGTTAAAATAAGGACTCTTTACTTCAACAGCTAAACATGATAGTTGCACAACCAAATATTGCCCTAGATTGAGAACTGCCCACAAAATACAGCTAATCATAATAGAGCTGCACAACCTAGCAGTGCCCAAAATTGAGAAATGCCGACAAACACAGCTGAACATAATAGAGCTGCACGACCTAGTATTGCCCTAGATTGAGATATGCCCCCAAATGCAAAATGAAGGACATGATTGATGCATGTGGACGAGGCCTCAACTTTCAACCAATTATTTTTGTAGGGAGCAATTAATGGGGATTTTTTTTTTTCCCACAACATAGTCACAAGGAAATAAATATTTAATGCAAAGGGTGTGATGTTCATAGTTGGCGGGAAAAATCAATTTTAATTAATGATCTGCAAAAGTGACTTTCCAACTTGCTAACCGTTATAGATTTGTGATTCTCTGAGTCAGAAGTATAAGCTGTTTGCTGGTTTCAAATAAAGCACTTAGTAATAGAAAGCAACAATCGGTGGACTCAATACTACGAAATCAGTACTACTTCCAAAGAACCATGCATTTTAGTTACTCTCCACCAGGCATCAGTATTCATCCCCATCAAAGCACTTCAACCCAAAAATAAAAGTACACAAAGTTATGATCTTCAAATGGAAAAGAATCCCAGATCCCAACTAGGGTAAACTTGTCACAAACAAACGAGCAACAGTGAACTATACAATGAAGGGGAATTTCATGTATGAACTTGAAGGCAGCAAAACTAAAACCGATTGCCCGAACCTTCCAGTGCTGTTGAGATATACAAAATATTCAGCTCTATAACAAGGCATATTCTTAACAGAATGTCACCACCATCAAGATACCTTGCTTGCAGGAATCTTGTCTCTCCTTTCTACATAGGCTGAAGGAAACCATCCAGCCTCGCCCTTGCATTCTCCTTCGGACCATCCATTAGGAGCCACCTGTTAAAAGGCACATAGCCATGGAATGCTTAAAAGGAACCAGTAGCTTGCATTTCCAATTTGATAAGATTAGATTGATCAGCTTCCAAGTAAAGTTTTAATTGCTAACTTGAAGTTCATAACAGCAAAAATCTCACTGTCAAGTAGCAAAAGAAAACATATGGCTATAAATATGCAAAATTTCAATAGAAGTCCATGGAAGCAACCAATCAATTCTCTCATCATATTCAAAAGGCCTGACAAGTCATACTCTTTCAAAAGTTTGTCTTTCAAAGGTTTGTCTTCAAACCTTAACTAACCAATTTATTTTAAGGCCTCCAGGGTGAAGGAGCTTAGCTACTGTTACAGAACAAAGTTTGTTACCAGTAGATATATTATTAAGACTTTATGTGGTGCTAAAGTTCCTAAGAATGGTTACCAAAAGTAATCCTCTGTGTGTGTGTGTGCAAGTGTGTGTTGGAGTTTGTTTCCATGTACAAATTCTTTCCTACAAAAGATCTGCTTCATGAATCTTCCATTTAACTTCACTACCACCATCTCTAGTTCTTTACTTTTTCTTGAACAAGATAGAGCTATATTAAAGAATGATACATGCAATGTTATGTCAATCCTTAGACAAGTGGAGTCATCAGCTGATTAAACATCAACGAATGATCCATTACTTCTGAAAGCCCATTCAACATTTACTGCCATTCAGAGATACATTAACATTAACAGTTAAAAGAAGGATATGATCTCATATTCCAATTGGTAAAAGGGTCCTCTCAATTTGAGGTTGCATATGAAGACTTGAGCCAAAGGAATTAAGCTATTCGTATTCCAGTGGGGTGGCAATGACAATCTTTTCCCTGATTGGGGCATACAAAAGAAATTAAGTATAATGCTCCTTTATCAATGAACTTTAAAGCTTTCTCTTAGTAATGTCATAAATAGAACTTGCTTGGACTCCTCAAATAACTGGCAAGGTAAAGAATGAACTGCTTGAAAAGGCAAGTGAAAGCTATTTCCTTCAAACTACAAACAGAGTTCATCCCCAATTCATCCAATTAACGCAAGATAACAGATAAAATAACATACTAGTTCATTGCATCTTCTGTCTACTTGAAACATTAAGAAATAAAACCAAAATCTCATTAAGGCTTGTACAACAACTCTTTATTATTCGAGTGATAGAATTCTGGTAGCAGATAGATTAGGCAAACAATCCATGTGATGTTAATCAAGAATTTTAAAGCATTAATGATGGAAGATACTAGATAAATGCATGTTCAAGCAAGGTATTGCTGCAAAATCACTTAAAAGGTAACTCTACAATGAATAAAGGCATGTTGCTTCAAATTGTAAAACTTGTTTTATTTCTTTCCGCAGCATTATCCTCAACATTTCAGACTTCTAAATCAATGAGTTCATGACCTTTATCAAAATTTTTGCATGAACATATGGAGAGCTGAGAGTTGCTACATAAAACAGCAGAATGATGTCGCAAAGTCAAACCATAAACTTCAACGTTTAAGATTAGCACAACCTCAACATAGGAGAATCACAACTGACCAAAAAAATCCTCATGGATATAAAATATGAGGCATAAGAAAAGCAATTTACAAATATTTTACTTCAAGAACACAAGGTTTACATGGATGATAATGAAAAGAATAAAGGCGATTAATTTAACAACTCTAGTCTTAGTGTATCTGAAAAAGCAATAGAGCTTTGGTGCTCATGACAATACAATCTGTCTATTAGTAGTAGAAGAAAATCATGCTTCTTTGTGATGGGCTGAAAAAACTTGAAGAAACATACCATGTCAAGAAAGCTTCTAGAAAACCAGATAGTTAATTAGTATTTGAATCTATTGCTTTCCATAATGTTTTGTGAAGAAGTTTCTCTATTGCTTTCCATAATGTTTTGTGAAGAAGTTTCTCTATTGCTTTCCATAATGTTTTGTGAACAATACACGAGTATTGAAACCACCATCCCAAGGACATTGCTGAACGGAGGAATTCCAACTACTACTTGTTAATGTACTTGACTATATAGAGTAGATTAACATTTGAGATGTCCAACCATGAGAATCCACAATCAACTAAAAGAGTTGCAGCATAGCTTGTGTCATATGTGCAACTCAAAGCATAATCTTCAAGAATCAATTTTGACGCCTGCTGTCTTATTTTGAAGGTTGATTCAGACATAGCACTAGAGGTTTTGGATTCATGTCTTTTTACCACTATCACTGTATCACAAACAATTTTTATTTGTTCCCCCTCCTCCCCCAACCTGCCCCCACCCCTCTCCTGCAATGCCACCACCCCTTCCCCTCGCACCTGCAGCTCCTCTGCACCCCATGAAACAAACCTTTTTAAAGGTTTACTAGATTGACCCCATGGAGAAAATTGCAAAATAATGGCAACTTCCCTGCAGGATATTATGAACCTTAGCAAAGTGGAACATTAAAAGATACGTAAATGCATAGAATAAGATTTTCTGAATCCAAGTCATGAACACAACACCTTGCATGCAGAAAAAGATCAGTAAAAAGATTTTAAGATTTCTGTGAGCTTGTACAGTAGTGTTCTCATTCACATGGTAAGCAGCTTTGAGCCTTGACACTGTTTACGAGATTTTGTGAACTAGTAATGATGCTTTTTTTTTTTCCAGGTAGTCTATTCTTCCTTCTTTCCACATGTGAGCTTGAAGAATTCTTCTTTTACTGCTCCCTCCCACCCTCCATAAAAATAAAAAAAATTATGGAGTTTGTGCTTGTACCGTGCAAAGATGGTGAGTTATTTATATCTCATTCCCTTATTTACCCTTAACTGGATCAGTTGAAATTTGAGTTTGCTAATGTTATCTACCTGATAGGACCCAAGTGCATTGCAACTTTTCTAGATCTCATCCAAATATTAGTCATGGCCCATCGTTCTAAACAAATTAACAGGAAAGCAAGAGGGTATCTTGAGAAAATTGTGAAAATTTCTTTGCCAAGAATAGTGACATGTATTTTGGGACAGCCACACTGACGGAGCATAAATTTTTCCAGAAGGCAGATTGACTTGTGTAGTTCATCAACTTTTACTATGACTATAATCCTTATCTGTGGTCACTCTCTTTGCTAGGTTGGTTTTAAAGAATTACACGAAAACCTCAATTGCAGATGATTATGCACTTTTTATATGTTCGCGAGTTGAGACAGATGTTGCTTCAAGAATGACCAGGAAAATAACACAAAGTAGGAAAAGATCTAGTCAAGTTGATGAAACCAACAAGACTAGCAATATTGGGAAAGTAGAACAAGAAAAATTTATGAAAGGATTAATGCATTCCACGAATGTGGTACAAGTATATGATTGACCGGGAAGGTTACAAATTTTTCCTGGCATGGTGGTCTATGTCTACAGTGACTTAACTGGTAAATGAACCTTAAACAAGCAACAGAACATAAACAATAAGCTGAAGACCACGTACAATGAGGATCAGGAGGAAAACAACATACTTGTCAGTTCCTTTATTAAATATTTTAGAAGTAATAACATTCTCACAAGGACTGTTGAATTTTTGCATTAAGTACAAAAATGACATTACTCTTTAATGCAACAAACTTGACACAAAGATAACTAACATCAAGAGGCTACACCAATACAAATTTGGCATTCCTCGTTAGTCATACAAAATAAAGGAAACTAGCACTCTCCTGGCAGATGGTCAGGTAACCAATGTTTTTTGGAATCAAAAGCGCAATGCATGTGATGAAGATTGTGGAAACAAATCCTTAAGGAATTTTTTTTGTTATTTATTTTGAGGGATCCTTATTGTTTATGTAATTGATTGTGAGAAAAACCAGCAAAGTTAGAAAATTAATGCAAAAACTTGTTTGGTAGTCTTATCTTGGAAAAGACAAACTATCAGAAAAACAAAAAGTAAATTGCACGTGTCTTTTAGAAACAAATCCTACTATAATCCAGTTTTGTATTTGTAAACAATGACTGGAGTTTTAATAATTTTTTTATACTTGAAGCTATTTATATCTATATTGCTGCAAAAACCAATTTTTAAGTTTAACATTTTCTCAGAAGGAGGACAATAGAATTTGAGAAGGTATTTTAAGCATATGTACCTATAAACCAATCTCAAACATGACATCAAGTTGAATTAATAAATTCTCCGACAAACATAATGAATGGTAGTAAGACAGAAGTATGAAAATAATACCAAAAGAAATATGAATTCAACACGATCAAGCTTATAACAAGATTACTTTTCTGATTGAATGGGAAGAAGTAACATAACTACCTGCCTAACAACAACAAATCATCAACTGCAAGGCTAAGCTCGCCATCTGCTTGGGCATCAAAAGAGTGTATAACCTGCAGTGGTGACAGATTATACAACGCATAATGAAGAACAAAAAGAATATCAAAATTTCAAGAGGAGAAAGGAAAAATATGCCATATGCTTCCTTCAAAAATAAGAGAGGTCATACCTTTGCAATAAAGTATGCATCATCTTCAGACTTATTTATGGTATCTACATGTACAAATAGAGAACAGGAATCTTTCTGGCTAAATGATGAATGTAACGAAGACTCGTTCAGTTGCTCCTCCAGAATCATCTATCTCAAGACATAAATGGCAAAAATGAATACCATAAAATCCCTAAAAGTCCAGAAAAAGGTGCAAATAACTGAAATACATAGTAAAATCCAGAAGCCCCAAAGGGAACCTACACTTTTCCCACACATTTGACATTAGTGAAATTTACAGACCTCAGAATGCAGCTTCTCTAAAAGCAACAATGTTTTGATGATAAGATCTCTCAGCATCCACCTGTTAACTGAATTCATGTAAGATACCATAAGTATTGTCTATAAGTGATGAATTAATATGGAAAAGAAGTCATTCTGTGCAATGAAAATTCTGTATAGGAGCAATGTCTAAAGAAAAACAGAAGTAAGTGTAATCTGCAGTAACAAAAGAACAAAGAAAAGACGGACCACCAGCTCACCAATATTACTTTCGGTTTGCATTTCATCATACAATAAATAGCTCAAATAGTCTTAAATCTGGCAAAAAAACCCACATAACCAGCACCTGAGTTGTAACATAATTAGGAAGTGGGCCAAAAGCATTCAAACCGTTTCAACCTATACTGCACCCATTCCTCCCCAGAAAGAGGAAAAATCAAATGAAGAGAAAAAAGGAGTTTACGGATCAAAAGAAAGGGATTATGGTTAAAATCTAATTCAAAGTAAAAGCTTTCTCAGACTTTGTTTCTATTATGTAGTAGAGATGAAATGGAAAATGTCTCTACTTTCTACACTTTGCTCATGAATTTAATTCTCCTGAATGTTTTCAAGTGTAATTCCTATCCTCTACAGACAACATGCACAAAAGATCAGAGAAGCTTGAGGAAGAAAGAAATAACATGGAATACTAGGCTGCAATAAACACACAACCAGAGCAGAGCTAATTTTTGTGTTCTTTTAAGTTGCCTGAATAAAAGTACAGCGGCTAACTATTTGGGCTCTGTAGCATTATTTTGCTCCACGTCCATGGATTATTCCAATTTGAAGACATTTTGACAATATGCTGAAAAGATTCACTAAAACAGCCATGTACAACATCATCTTTTACAATCATGACAATACTTAAAAACTGCTTAGCCGAAAACCATGCCCTTTAGATTAACGCCACCTGGCCAACCAACTGCAGTAGAAAATTCTGAAAAAAAAAAGATGCATGATTAATTTATTCCCTTGTCTTTCTTGTATGCACACCAAATGCATTTTACAGATTCAATTATCCAAAAATATATTATGCCTGATCTATAAGTAACTTCCACAGTCAATCACCCTCAAGGCATTAAAGAATAAATTAGATCATAAGAAAGCACAAATCTAGGAAGATACTGGCAAGGAAATGCAGGACAATACAAGAAAAAGAATGCCTGATATCAAATGCTCAACTGACTATATATCTATTTGTGAATCAAAGTTGAACAAACCAATGAAAGTAGCCAGCCTTGAGTAGTTATAATGAGATGAAATGTAACTAGAAAAAATAAAAGCATTGCCAAATTTATCAAAATAATTCCTTCAAAAACATTATCATTTTTACAGAAGTCCCTTGTGTCATATATACATACATGCACATGTATACACACAGTGTGTACTACATTCATACATGCATACGATACGTGTATGCATGCATGCATGGACATCCATCAATATATAAGGTCGATTGTATGCTAATAATTCAAATGGATTGTATGCTAATAATTTCCAGTTCGTAGGGTACCCAATCCATGGAGAATTTGGCTCATAAAAGAGCAGTATTTTCCTCTGGAGATTACAATACAGATACAGATAAATTAAGCCAAATTCTAAACTACCAACGGTTTGTCTATACCCCACCAACCCACTATCCAGTAAATGATAAAAATATTAATGCTCTGTATCTGCTTAAGATGGTGAATTATGAAGATATAGTGTACCCGGTTTTGACAAGACCATGGTTCTTGAAGAAAGATTCTTATGATTTTAATCATAAATGAATTTGGTTTAAAAGCTATACATTGCTGTGGCAAAAGATACATTTAAATAATCATAAACATAATATATATTTCTTTTGCAATTATGGTCCACTTAATGAAAAGCATGATTGAATGTGGAAATGTCTTGACTCGTGTGACAAAAAATCTTGCTTTCTAGGAATGACAATTGCTCTTTCAAGAACAAGTCCTTTTTATGTTAAATAATAATAGTAATTATAGATCAATTTCAAATTCAATGCACAAACCAAATATTGAATAGATTGTGAAGAGAAAAATGTTCTCCTTGTTGGGAAGTCAAAAATCACCATGAGAAGTAAACAGCCAAATGTGCACAAAATGTCAACTGGAAAAATTTGCAAACACTTGCTGTTAAGAAAATCTTAGGGACAGAGTTTCAATGTTGAATCCAAATGATTGTTCATTAATGTTATCATGCGTAAGAAAGAGAACTTTAATTTCATCTATTTCACTATCAGTTTCATGTGACCAAAAGTTAATAACATATCTACTAAGCATACAGATTTCTAGTAACTCATAGGTCTCCGCTTCTAGAAGAAAGTTCATTACCTTCTGTGATAGCTAGGTTGCTTATGTAATCCTCTATCTTTCCTTATTTTACACTTGATGGGGATAGGGAAGAAACAGCAAAAGCAGAAAAGGAGAGAATCCACCCCTCCAGATTATTTCACAAAATGCACATAGCTTATGCATGAACTATCAGAATTTGGCAAGACAAGATAAAATTTGTGTGTTTTGTTGTATTATACCACATCATTAACAGCTGAGGCAACATTACTTCTTCCAGATAATAAAGGGTAAAAGTTACACCTGACATGAACTTTTGAATAGCATTACCATGCTAAGAAGCTTTTGAAAAGTAAGTTGCTGTTGCTGATCCTCTGACAACATAGCGGAAATTGCTTCATTCCCAAGCACCAACATTGAAGATTTAAGCTCAGTCAACTTTGCTTCTGAACTTTTTAGCTTTATAACACTCTCTGCAGAAGAATCTTTACACTTTGATCTACGCCTTAATACATCAGCTGCCTATTTTTTTTTTGGTATGGAGGGGTCCGAGAAGAAACATAAAGGACAATGCATCAGCATATAACAAATTTCCAACAGTGTCTGACGTACTGACTCTTAAATTGGAGTACCTGGGCTTCAAACTCTTGCCGGACTCTGTCATAACGGTGAGTCAAGTGGCGAGCATCTTCTAATGGAGCACCAGCTATGGACACGCGCAGAGGTTCACAAACCTGCAGGTTGTGAAACAGAATTTTCAAAACTGATTGGAACGTAAAGTATGCAGAGAAGCTCAAAAACTAAAGTGCAGTTAACAAATACATGTATCAAGAGGTAACGTCGTTCACCTAACAGGAGTTCAACATAGAATCCTATGGGTAATCCCCACTTGAAACCTACCCTTCGTTAATTACAACCATATATCAATTGCATTGACTTCAGCGAGAACGAAAAGGAGCTGAAAATCAACACAAATCCTAATTCTTTTTCACCAAGAATCACATGCACAGATACTATAGTTAAAATTTCTGTTCCTCTTTCTTCCTTCCTTCTCTAATCCTCATTTTCAGCGCAACGATCTGGTATCTTCCATCTCCTAAAATCTCTAAAACTGAAGTTCTGAATTGAATCTTATCCACCAGACTTCCTGGTGCAGCAACACTTTCATTATTAATGATCTCCAGTTTCACTTTCCCAATCAGCAGAAGGGGGTGATAAAAAATCTCCACTCTTCTACTTTCACTTACAGAACTGTGGTGCCAAACATGTACTGAAAGTTACTTGAATAAGATGTACAAGCAGAAAAACAAAAGAAAAGAAGGGCCGAAAAATGAAATGTGTTGATCACAACCAAGAAAAACTAAAATCTATATCATACCAACACTTACAACCAAGGATATAATGGGCATCCTGGCACTTTTAACAGTTTCTGTGAGAAAAAGACAAAGATAAGCAAATAAAAGTTCAGTTCAACTCCATACAAATCTTTTAGGAGTCAATTCAAGTCACTGATTTTCCTTCTAGTTCACAAAAATTCAGTTTCTCAAGTTGACGAATCAAGAATTTCAATCAGGTCTTTAGATGCAGCTATCAGGATGAAGTTTATACGAAAGCTATACCATCAAACTTGAATGTTAGGCTTCAACCTGAAAGCACAATCTCTCAGTGGATAAATATATCATCCTTGTCCTTGACACAGCTTTAGTAAGCCACGATGCCTTTGGTTCCAGAAAAGCAAAAAAATCTGATTAGAGCTCTTTTATAGAAATTCAAGTTCTAGCTTTTGGAAAGTTTGGAATCTCATTCATGGCTGGGGTCCAGAGATGGGGTAAGGCTTAAGCACAAGAAGCACAGAATAAGTGATATCACAAGCCACACTGCAGAAGTATTCAAGAAAAGATAAGAAAATATATATATTAAAAAAAAACAGAAAGAAGAGCTGCTGAAAGAATTATCAGCAACTAAGTTGTTTTGGTGTTTACTTGTCTCCTTTGAAGGTTTTACAAAAATGTTCATGGGTCGTCCATTCGGCTTGTTGAATTTCTCTTGTCCAATCTTGCCTCTCAAATGCTCCCAAATGAACTTCACATCATATAAGAATTTTCAAAATAAATTTTACAGTTGGAGCATAAAATCCAGGTAGAACACAATCTCCTTCGAGCATAGCCCACTATCCCAGTATGCTTAGCTAAGGTCATCAACCAATAAGCATCATAACTAGCAAGCAGCCTATGCTGAGAACAAAGTGAAGTACAAATATTAGAAACACCTCCAGGAGGATTCTTTCACCAACTGCGCTTCTCACATGGAATGCTTCATCTAACATATATAAGCAATCCTAAGAGAAAGGAGAAGGCCAAACCATAAATATTTTGCACCTCGATATTGTTTAAAATAATAACTCTGTAAGTTTTTTCGATCCTTTTATGTGTATAACCAAAAATTTCAAGCCAAATGATGCACCTATGTATCATACAGCTATGAAGTCGTTCCAGATTTTTAGGTACTAATAATTGACACATGTTCATCCAATATTGTTTGATAATTCAAATGTCTATAAAGTTATCCTATCTTCATTTGATATATCTTAAAAAAATAAGCATGAATCATGCAGCGCCAAGAAACTATGGTGGAAAAGGCCTGAATATAGGAATTATGTAGAATTTTCACACAGTTAATAAAAAGTTTAAGATTTTAGATTTGAAAATATGAGGATACGAGAAGGCAAAAAAATAAGAGAAGCAAGATAGGAAGGAAAGAGAATTTGGAATTTCTCTGACACTTCAAATCAAAACCCAGTTTCATTCTCCCAAAATTGTCCTCCTAATGTTATTGCATAGAGTACAAGACTTGTTCAATGAAAGATTAAAGGAGCTATGCAACTTAACCAATAAAAGACCTCACCAGCTAATGAACTTAAAAGTGTACAAAGTCAAGTTCAACTTGACTACTCTAAGACATAGCCTTGTTTTTACTTTAATATTTAAAGACAAGACTCCAACAAAGCTCTAATTCCTATGTCATTACAGATGGCCAAAAGAGACTTCAAGTCCTTTCAACCTGGCCTAGCTTAGAAACTGCAGAGATCATAAAAACACCCTCAATATTCTAACCTAAAAAAGAGAAATCTAACACCACTTAAAAAAAAACTACCATGGGCACTTCCTTTGGACCAAAACCTTCTCCTTTTTGATACAATTCTGCTATTAATTTTTCCAAGGGATTCTTCCTTTTCCCTATGCAGAATAGCAGCTGCATCATTAATCATTTAGAATGATGCAAGAGTTACCACTGAACTTTATTCTGTAGTTTTTTTTTTGATTATTCATATGCCTTACATTCTGTCTGTTAAATCATGGGTAACCAATAGCAACTTGACCATAGGTCAACCCAATGACATGGTGATTACTTCTCAAATCTGCCACAAGCAATGGTAGCATCAGCCATCACAGACTATGGAAGCACTTATTTCTTGTTCAAGTAACTATTCATTTCAGGACTTTATTTCCAATAGAGACAATAAGTCAAACAATAAACATAAACACAAAGAAACCCCTCCCAGGTACCAAACCAGTCCACTATTTTAGCCCTATGAACCAAGCAAAGCTCAACTAAGATATGTAACTAAGTCTCCTATCGTATCGGGGAACATACAAAATTCTGGAAAACAATTGGCTGGGAAAGAAGGCTATGAAGATGACATAAATGAAACTATTAGGAACTGTTAATGTTACCAGCACATTCAAGGAACTGTTAATGCTGGCAGCGCATTCAAGAATAGGAACATAACCTGGTTTGCAAGAATCCCAAGCATAGTTTCCCTATGATCTTCATTGAAACATGTGTGGTACTGAAACCAGAGGCAGCCCTTGCAAGGTGAAGAGCATCACTTTGGTTCTCAATCCCATACTTGCAACAATCTTCTGCCAACTTTCTAGCTGCCAAATTCAGGTTAAGTTTTGTTACATACCTAGCAATTGAAGTGACTTAAGATGAAGGGCAGACCAACTCACTTATCTCCATCTGCTTTTTGCTTATTGAAATAAATCCTTCTACACCACGGACGATATCCCTCTGCAAATGCTGTGCAGCATAACATAGTTTATATTTTACTATGTAAAATCTTCTTATATATGTAGACTGATGTCATAATCCATGAATAGAAGGAAAATACCCAGATAAACCAAAAACAGCCCAATGAGGTACCTTAGCAGTTCTTGTAGATTTGTACAAATTTTGGAGTTGTTGGTAACACTCCATTTCAGTGTCATCAACCATTACAGCTTCATGACCCAATTGTCCTAGTTGTCTGAGAATTGCCTGATGTAGAGGATTTCTGAGCATTATTTCGCACATATATAGAAATGATTCTTACATAGTAATCATCAGAATAGAACTGAAAAGAGGTAAATTTTGGCTCCTATGAACCAACACTAGCCAGTTTTGGCTCCTACAATGTATAGTAATTCTGAGCATTATCTTGCAAACATTTAAGAAGAGTCGTTATGCAGTAATCATTAGAACAGACCTTAAAAAAAGATGTAAGATGTGGCTCCTATGAACCACTACATAGCAAGAAAGAAAAATTAGGTTTAGGACAGCCAAAGAAATTTTTGGAATATTATGAAACTCAAAGGAACATAAATTAGCTATTTTCCCTGTTATTTTTAGTACCACTTTGAGTACTATTTAGGCCAAGAACAAGAAATCCACTGTATTATATAAGTTGTGGCTTCTTTGTTCGGGTTAAAGTAAAGAGAGGAATCTCTCCTCATAGGGCAGCGTAAGAATTTATACATCAGAGTGGACCAAAATGAAAAACAAACTCATATCTGAAGACCCTCAGGAGTGTACCTGTAGCTAAACTGCTTCCTGATACCAAGAAATTCTCACTCAGTCTCAAATCCCACAACACCATTAAATGCTAAATAGTGCGAACAGCAATCCAATACCCTAAAACCTATTAAATGACCGTTGACTTAAAAAGAGAGCTATCAGATAATAGATCCTTCAAAAGTTTTTAAGAAATGATGGAAGATAGTCAAGTTGATGAAAAAACTGGCAACTAAAATTTCAGTATTAGTGGCAAAGCTGTCAATCATGCATTCAAAAGTTTTTAAACACTAGATAGATATACTACGGTCTCCATCCTGCTTGAGAACGAAAAGTACAGGTTATGTTGCTCAGTTAGTTTTCTACTTTACTCTCCTTTTTTTTTTTTTGCGCTATCTATCATGTCAAAAAATGACTTCAAGAATAAAGTTATAGGATTATAAAGGTAGAGAAGATTAAATAGCAGACAGTTAGGTAATGTAAGGAGATGGTGGATCGATGTGGTCAAGTTGTTTTCATACAATCATTTGAAGTAAAAAGCACAAAAAAAGAGGTAGCCACTGTCTGACATGCATGGCTCCAAGCATAACAAAAAGGCACCTCCTTCCGGTGAAATAAAAAGAAACAAGAAAAAGGTCCAACCTGAGAATGTATCGCCTACCTAGAAAGCTTGTCCAAAAATATAACCCATGTAGACTAAAAACCCACACAGAACAATAAAGCTGGGAAATGGTGCTGCGTCTGTTTGGATGTTATTGGTTTACGCCAAGGAGGGTTTTAGACATCATGTTTTGTTGCAGATGGCAGAGTGTATAAAAGAAATGGAAAAGCCTGGGAATTTGCTGCACTTTCTGTGTTTTTGCAAGAGTAATATAGTATGAAAGGAATTTGGCAACTTTACACAGTATACAGCTACCTCCACGTATTCTAATATACTGGATTTTGTTTTATGTTCTTGTGGGGAAGGAACTCATTCCAATATGCATATTGGATGAACTTGAGCAGTTTGTGTATTTTGTGAATAATACCTTACTGTTCTTATCAGATAAGGAAAAACAGCCAGAAACGACTTCTAAAATAGCTATTTGTACTCCGCAAAACAGTAAAAACAGATTAAATATTCTTTATAAACATTGTAAATCATGGATCAGTCCAGTGAAACTAATGATCTGAGCTCTATATGCTGGCTAACAGGACCTTTGTTTTTACACCAATGGCAGAGTGGTGTTGCTGCGGGAAAATACCTTCACCAAGCATCAAAATCTACTTGGAGGCATTATATTCTCCCCACACAATTTTTATACCCTTTAGAAAATAATTTCCAACAGCCTAATGTTACCAGAATCGAAACCTTAACTGCTACATCCATCTTTCTTTTTTCCCACTATAAAGCATCTGTATCATTCTAACATAGTGCAGATATAGACTCAGCATGATACAATTTTTCAGCAGGGACCAGGTAAGACAAAGCAAAAAACTATGAAAATGAAATGCATTGTTAACTGGATGTTTTCCACCTACAATGCCTAAATGTAACTCACAAACTTATGAACCGAAAACTGATCTTCGTAGCTTGTCCAGAACAAAGCTTAGAGCAGCTAAAATCTAAAGATAGCTTACCATGCAATAATTGACTAACTGATAGAGATAAGTGGCAAAAATCCACTAAGGTTTATAGGAGGCGTGGGATGTGTCGAATGCCCTAGCATTGATTTGGCATGCTTTTGATGACAAGGAACCAACTTGGGAGTTGGTTTGAATCCTATTGAGTTCGTTTTCTGATTTTCACAGCAAGGGTATTTTAGTAATTTGGTTAGCTGCAGGAATTTTATGTTTATGGTAATTTTCTGTTTAGTAATTTTTTTGGTAATTAGTATTTTAGTTGTTATGGGGAATAAGAAAGCTTAGCTTTCTAGCTTTCTACTAGAATTCTATTCTAGTTAGGAGTCCTAATGAGGATTGGAGTTGGCTTTGTTCCAGCATCTATAAATAACCACTTCTCCATAAAGAGAAGTCAGATTTTATCGTTAATAAAATTTTCTTGCAGACTCAATGTCTTTCTTAGGATTGTGTGATACATCCTAACTTTAGGTGTGATGCCTAAAGAGTCCTCGGAGTGATTGCTAGAATTACTAATCAGATTTTAATCTTCTTAAGCATATATTCTCATTCTATTCCTAGTAGCTATTTCAACTTCGGGTGAAATTCGATATTTAGGTTTTTCTAAAAAGCTGTTGTGCCCACCAAGTGTTGTGCTGCATCACTAACAGACTCAAAATTATGGCCCCATCTGAATATTATCCTGGATCCATCCCTATTTAAATTATGCAGCCAATGAAGTCTCTACTGTGCTACGCAAACAAACAACCATTAAAAATCTATGCAGGACTTCTGTATCTAATTTTTTGTTTGTTGATTCCACATGTTCGTTTTGGATTACTGCACGCACATATTTACAGCATTTAATACAAAACCCATATTTTCCAATCAAATTCAGCATCAAAAACCATGGAACAGCTTGACATACCAAGACATTTGTCACTAGTTACCAATTATATAGTCCTATCATATCCACAAAATTTTAGAAATTGGAGACCATATTAAAACACTTATTTCCAGGCAAAAAGGCAACACTGACCAGGATAAAATCCCATTAAAAATATTTTCAAATTATTATCCTCTTTAAAGGACAAAGAATATTCATAAAATAGTGACTGCCTTTTTCACATAAGCCAGCATTACCCTTCTCTTTCCAACTCATTCTATCATTGTCCCTTTTGTAATCAGAAATCCCAACAACTAACTTAACCAAAAATTTATTGCTCAAATTATATTAGGAGTATTACATCAAGCTCAACCAGTATGGAAAAAGACTAAAGAATAAATACAAATACATAAGAAAACTAAAATAATCATCAAAAAAATCAGATACAAAGGGCAATTGAACTCTAAATATAGATAATAAAACTCCACCCCAAAACCAAGAAAAACCCAGAAAACAAACTCAATTCTGCTAAATTTAGACTAAACAATTCATTTCCTCCCACACAAAAATATACTTGAAAACCCAAAAAATAAAAACTGCATAAATTCAATAAATTTTTTAGGAAAATAAAAGGTACCTGCTGCTGCCTAGCCACCTGTTCTCTTAATTTACTTGCTTGCTTCTTTATAGCATCCATTTTCAATCTTTTCCCCTCAAGGCCTGAACCTCCCTCTGTATCACAAGACCTCCAAATTCTCCCCAGAAAAAAGAAATTAAAACCTCTGTATCGACTATCTATGCATATATTAGTATTGCCCACCAACCAAAATTCAAAAGACAATGAAAAAAAAAAGGAAGCAAAGGGTCTCTGAAGAAGCACAGAATTTGGGGAGATAAAGGAGGGGGAGGCCTCAATATTCCACTGCAGTTGTTTTTACCTGGAAAAAAGTGGGTGATGGAAAGTTCCAAGAGAAAAAGAGCCAATCAGTGGAGTCAGAATTGGGGGCATAGAGAATACAGTATAAAAAGGTTCGGTGGCTTTAGGACAGTAGAAAAGGGAAATAGAAAGTCGAAAAGGCCAAAAGGGTCGGTGACTCTGCGAAAGTGATTGGAGAGAGAGAACTTAGCTGCTCTTGTAATGCTTACATTAACCGGTCGGATCTGAATTTAAATTTAAAATTTAATTTCAGTAGTGAATGCATAATAATTAATTTAAATTTAAATTTAAAATTTAATTTTTGTATATGTATAATGTATTTAATAAAATTATTGAATGCATAACTACCCATTTAAATTCAAATTTAAAATCTAAATTTTATATATGTATCATGTATTCAACTATAATAGTGTATTACCTTTATATTTTGACTCTTAAAATAAACAAACCCTTTTAAAGTTCTCGAGGTCTCTGATTTGGACATTTTCCATGTTTGGATTGCTATTTTCTTAGAAAAAATTTTAACGTTGTCCATGAACAGATTTCTAATCACCTTTTTACTTCACATACATTACATTGCTATATTATATTTTTTTACAAAAACTTTAAAAAATATCAATCCAAATTGGGATCTTCTATTTACTTATATAATTTGTTAGTACTAGTGTCTTGTCCTCAAGTCTAGATACATCTTTGAATGGTTTTAAGAGAGAATGTTCTGGTTTGGGAGAAATAATGTAGTTGAAATATATATATACACACACACACACACATAAATTAAAACATGTTTTACTATCTATACTTGTCTATGTATCCAATTATGGTTACAATCATTTTCTACAAGTTCTGATAAATAAGATGTAAAATTATCTATTTGATTTGTTATTTCTTCTATGAATTCTGATTCTTCTTCTTCACTATCTATGTCTTGATTATCTTCTAAGGACACTATACTATAAATACTTTCTATGTCTAACATATGTTCATCTCCTTCTATTAAGTTTTCATTGACAGTTTCTCCTAGTTGGCTTTATCTATTGTATAGATTTTTCCTTCGTGGATAATTTGTTGCTAAGTGATCTGGTTCTCCACATGCATAACAATGTAGTTTATTTGTATATTTCCTATTTGGTCTACATTTTCTAACATGTTTTTCTTTTTGTAAGTATCATTTTCTAACTCTAGATTTTCTAAGATAATATTTTTTCTAGCGATACATTTTGTTTTATATTTTTTGAGTTTCTTTACAAACTTAGAGTACAGATAAAAAATTGGAAATATGAAGTCGAAACTATAATAGACACATGATGTACAAATACAGTTTTAAACAGTGCAATAGTACCATTAGATTACCATACAAATGCCTCAGAGGTTGTAGCAGCTAGACAAATGGATGGTAAATTTTATACTTATAGCACAACAGTAAAACAGGTAAATTTTAGATTTAAACATAATGATTCATATAGTACTCCTTATTACTTAGAAGAAATATATATATGACCCATAAGATTCTAACTTATAATGGGACTAGACTTCCTACTTTACTATTATCACGGTATGATATTAACTAGAAAAGGTATTACTATATTTAAAGAATCTACCTTAGAAATAATATCAAAGTTACGAGAGAAGCGTGGTGGGACTAATCATATGGAAAAATATAGACAATTAGATAAAAATATAGACAAATTTTTAGATATAACCCAAAGGAAAATAATAGAAAAAGAATGCAACTGTAAAATACCAGATCAATGTAAAGAACTTCTAGAAGAAGACTTAGGATTAAAATTAGAAGAAATTTATGATGAATTAGAAATCTGTATGGAACTTATAGAAAATGAAAAAAATTATAATTTACTAGAAATAGGAATAGAAGAAATTGATAAAATTATAAGTAAATTAGAAAAATTGGAAATATTAGGAGAAATGTGACGCCCCGAAAAGAATAAGAGTGAGAACCCGGAAATTTTCTAATTTTCTAGGGTTTATTTTATTTAATCGCCCGCCTTTTCTACATTTTCTGTATTAGAAAAATTCCCCAGATAAAGTTTATGAGCAAAGATAGTTTTAAAATGATTTTTCTAGTATCGGTTAGTTTTTGAGAAATTAAGAGCGTATTTTGAACGTGGGACCCGCAAGTGCGGTAAATGCATTATATTTTTGACAACTTGTTGGAATTTTGTATTAAGTGATATTATTTTACAAGGTGTTAAGATATTTGTATTGGAGAGACAAAAAGATAAGTTTTGAACCAAAAGGTGACAAGTGTCACCATAAGATTAAGTCTTGAGTTTGACTACTATTCATAACTTTACCATTTAATTCAAATTGGCCCAAAAATCACTTCATTTTGCAAGCTTCTTGGCCGAATGTTCTTGCTCAAGAAAGAAAGAAAAGCTCTCAATTTCTTCCTTCTATTTCTTGCTCAATCTTCAAATCTAACCAATAAAACTCCGAATCATTCCATAAAATCTCTTTGCTAAGTGGTCTTGAGGTATTTTGTGGAGTTGTTTGGAAAGCTAAGGTGATTAGTTGCTCTATCTCTTGTATTGCTAAGGTGAGTTGTGAAGTACCCCTCTCCTTCCTCTAATGATGTTCAATTCATGATTGGTGGTGGTATAAGATGCAAGTTTATGGATTATTTCTTGATTTGTGGTTGAAGTGGTGAAGTTTTATAATTATTGGGGATTTTTCTGTTTTAATATGAACATGATTGTGTGGCTATCTATGATGATTGGAAATGGTATGTAATGATTCTAGAAGGTGGAAAAAGTGGACAATTGCAATCAATTTCTGTTTTGGAAGAAATTTCAGAAAATTAGGTTTTGTGAAGGAACATTCTGCCCGAATTTTTAGCTCCTAGTTAGAGGCCGAATTGGCCTTGTCTTAAAACATGAAAGTTGTAGGGAATGATATTTTAGAGGTGCTTACAAAATTTCAGGTCAATCGGAGCAGCGTAGCTTGTGAAAAGTCGAAATTACCCTTACTGTTCTGGTTTTACCCGAATGTAAGAATTGCGCCTGTAATTGGTTGTTTTGGCTGGAATTGCTTCCGAATTGGTTGTTAAGGCCTTCTGATGAAATGTAACCCTGTTTCTTAGCTTTCAGCTGGTTTTGGAATTTCTGGATTTGGACTTGGATAGCCTGTTTTATGATGTTTCCGCTAGAATGCGTTCTGTGAATCTGTTTTTGTAATTCTGGTATAGTATCTTGCATTTTTGACCTGGTTACACTCGAAACTGGGCTGACCTTCTGAAATATTGTAGCCCTATCTCTTAGCTTCGAAACGGTATATCTTTCACCTTCATCCGACAATCGTAGCGCCTTTGGTACCATTACCGCAAAATGACGTCAAAACTGTTTTTCTGGTTTTGAGCTTAACTTTCATTTCCGGACTTTTCCCTACCTTGACTTGTACTAGTACTACTTGGAGCTTGCTGAATGGCTATTGGATGAACTTGTTGATGTGTGTGTATCTTTGGGACTGGCTGAGGAAATAATGAAGCCATGATGGCTGGAAAAGTTAGCAAATTCAGGGGAAGTGTTGTCCGAACTTTGAAGGGATTTGTTTGCAATTGAGTTTGTGATCTAAGACTTGGATTTGAGCAAGGCAATGTTATATGCTGGATGATTTCTGAGCCATGGAGGTGAGTGACCCTAAACTATTTCCAAAGTACTTGTGAAATGTTTCTTGCATTAATTATTCGATTGCATATCATGCGTGCTTGCATGTGAATTCATGACATGATTTGGCTTCAATGAGTTCTGGGAAAGTCTTGTGCTGGACACCAACGTCTCCACCTTGTTTATGGTTCATGTTCATGGTTATCTAGAGCACCGATGTTGCTCCCACTTTCGTGAGTTCGTGAGTTAATGTTAAATGAAATATTTGAGCGTTGGGTGTTCAAGTGCTATGATTTCACCGGCTCACGAGAGCACTAAACGGACATTTGATCTCTGAATCATGACATCATCGAAATCATCGAAATGCAACATTGTGAAATATATTTGTTTAATGATTTTCCTGATTACTCGCAGAGCTTCTAGCTCCCCAAAAATATTTTATTCCCCTCCACAGGGCTCAAGGCGAAGGAAGGACTTGTTGTGCTTATTCATGTGTCTGGATGGCCTATATCTTGTACAGTTTGGATTTGGAATCATTTTATGTATAGTTGGGAATTGTTTCCGTTTCGCTTATGACATGTAATTTTTGGAGAATTTGATGTATATTTGTGGACCATGTGAAGTATAGTTGAGATTTATCTCGTAATTTATTTGAGGATCGTAATGAGTGAGTGAGTCCCGGCGAGAGCTGGACAGGCGGCCCGCCGAACCCTCTGGTCCGCCTTAGGGGGAGGTGGGGTCGTCACAAGAAAATCCAACAAAATTTTGGAAAGAAGATAAAATATATTGTAAATTAGAAAGCTTAAATCCAAATCTAAATTTCCACAGCAAAAATAGAAGCCAGTAATGAAGAAATAAAAGAATTTTGAAATGCACATAGAAAACCTTAAAAAATTAGGAGTAATAAGAAGAAGTGAAAGTCCACATAAAAGCACAACATTCATAATTAATAAACATAGCGAAATTGCTAGAGGAAAAAAGTAGGATGGTAATTAATTATAAAAGATTAAATGATAATACAAAAGAAAATAGTTATGATATACAAGACAAAACCAACTAATTAACAGAATACAAGATAAATATATATTTAGTAAATTTGATTGTAAGTCAGGATTTTGGCAAATCAGAATGCATCCTGATAGTATAGAATGGGCAGCTTTTACCTGCCCATTAGGACATTTTGAATGGTTAGTTATACCTTTTGGACTTAAAAATGCACCTGCAGTATTCCAACGAAAAATAGATAATATATTTAGTGAGTATAGTGAATTTGTATTTGTAAGGATCGAAAACAACCTAAGAGGGGGTGAATTAAGTTGATTAAAAATCTAATTAAGTTATGAGCACTTTTTGCTCAATATGAAATTTACCCTCTTTTCTAAGTGATCACACAATGAATCAATTAATGAATGAATATAATCACTTGAGAGAAGTAGAAGAGATAAGCAATGTAAAGATCACAAACGTAACAATAAGTAAATAAAAAGGAAAGAATTGCAAAC